CTTCGCGAACGACAGGCACAGTACATCTCGCTCATCTTCTTCTGTGGCCTGCACACCGAGCAGGATGATCTGTACTCGGGTGCGGTTAAGATGCTGGGTGGTTTTATATCACAGTTATTAAGACAGTGTCCTGGGTTACTGGTTACAGAGCAAGATGTTCAATTTCTCAGTGGGAGACAAACGATAGATGTAGAGGTTTTATGTCAGTTGTTGACGACGTTGATTAGACGGGTGCCGAAGGAGATGGCTGTTACTTTTGTGGTGGATGGGGTGGTGCATTATGAGAATAAGTATTTTGAGGAGGGGCTGTTGGAGGTGGTGAAGGTTCTTGTTGGTTTAGGCAAGGGGGATGAGGCTTGGTGGGGAGGAGGGCCGGCGGTCAAAGTGCTCATGACGAGTCCTATCAGAACGGAAGAGGTATGGAGGGTCTTTCGTCATGATAGCGACAAGGACAGAATCTTGGATATGGAAGGGTTGCCGGTGGTTGCGGATTCAAACGGGCAGGCGTGGGAGTTTGAGTTGGATTGTTGAAGCGTTGGTTGGCACCAAAGGAGCGCCTGGGCCTATAAATGGGCGTGTGAAGGAGTAAGAAGCCATGCTATTGATAAAGATATTGTGAGCTTAAATTAGAATTTAATACGTCGAGCTTTGTTCACCGCATACTTGAAACTCGATAACCTCTACTTGCTTATGGTAAGACCCCTTCGTAATCGACATGTCTGAAGCGACCCGGATCTGACAAGACATCGCCCCATCTGGTCAAAAGACGCGTTCTATAAGCATAGTCTCCATCTCGGCCATGTCAATGTTAATTGTGCCTTCAGCGAGTTTATCATCTGTCACATTGATCGGAATAGCCCATGAGCTCTATGTGGTAAGGGAGAGGTTCTCGATATCCCTAAGGCATTCTCTCCCAAAGTCGGATGGAAGACCCCGTAGCCTTTGAGGTTGAGCTCTGTCAAATATTCCAATTATCTCAGCCTCCTTAAATCCTCGGGCTGCGTTCCATAGTGCATTGAGGCTCTGTCACCAATATCTATGATATGGTGGTCCATCATGCGGCACCACATGTCAACAGTGGATGCGACATTGAATTCCAGAAGCACTATTGTTGCTGGGGTGCCTGATGACTCAAGCAAAGTCTGCAGTCGGGAAAGTAATACCATTCCGATCCGTATTTGCGCTGAAAAGGGAAAATGATGCGGTTGGCAAGACCTTCGTCTAATTCCATCAAACGAGGTCCAATTTGAGTAACGTGCGGAAAAGTTTCTAAAAGTTCCAAGGAGTCTCCGTCGGTTAGGTACTTGCCTTGATTGAAGAGCTGGGACTCAAGAAATGTGCCGAGCATGGTTGTTGTGCAAGAAACAGTCACCGAGGCAGCAGCCCTGGGATAGAATGAATTGTGTTCTTTATTCGCACAGTCTGAGTGTTTTAGGAGGTACAGCTGTGGATACCTCATAGCTCCCTTGTCGACTCTGTCAAGAGACAAAGAACGCAATTTGTATCGCAGCAACCTTAGGTAGGCACGTGAGTGGGCAGTCTAATACTACTGTGCTAAGATACCTACAGGCTACGGTTGAGGGTTGTGTCACTGTTGATAGCCCATTGTCATCTTGATACTCCTCCTCTGTAAGAGACTTTACTTACAGTCCGAAGGTGCGCTCAAGCAAAGTCACTGATATGGCGGGCGAGAGGGTAAATCGGCATTGCTGCGTTCTTGTTCACTTTGGGAAAACAATGGGCATTATCAATGCCATCAGTAGACCTCGAGGGCCGAGAGAACAGACAATTAGATTGTACCGGTACCGTAGATTGGGTCCTCTGCTGCAGAAGCATGAAACTATGAGGGGATATCCCCTGAGACATGAAGTAGCTACCTCATTCCACCTGGGTGAGCACTACAATAGAGATATGACGTGGAACAAAACTGGCCTGATAACTACCATCATTCTCGAGTCTTAGACTCTTTCGATATCTTTATCCACCTTCTCTTCGGCTTCCAACTGGCTACCAGCATCGTCCACCTTGCTTCTGTATACTGTTGCCTGGACTGAGAAGAAATGATACCCTACGATCAAACTTGACCTAAGACTCTGCTCAATCGGCAACATCAATATAGTATAATTCTAAGATACAACTCCCTGTAATAGATGCAGTCTGTCCTTTTTGAGGAGTGCCAAATGTCGGTTATGAGGATAAGATTATGCTACTACCGTCCTGCGCTGAGTGCTGGACCAAGCACCTGAAGCCCAGACTGTCTAGACCTCCTCCCGTCGGTTTCTTTGGCCTCTAGTAAATAAGAGCTAGGTAGGTCGGTATGTGATACTACGCAGGGAGATGATAAAGGGCTGGACTGTGAAAAATAGACGGTGAGCATTTTAGACTATGAATATCAATCGATACCGGACCAAACCGTGTGCCCAAATATTGACGTTGTAACTCTTGTACCGTGCATTAAACTTCAAGCTAAGAGCATGTTGTGTGTTTACCTCTTCTTTACCCCTGAACCCCTGAATTCAGGTCGCATTTCCCCTCATTATTAACCCCTGCTAGCTCGCCAATCGATCGAGCTCCGCTAATGTGCGTCCATATCTTATCAATAAGCATTTTCATCATACGTCCTACCTGCTTGTCATACGTCGCGTTTGACCTCCTGAACTAGAACTATGAGGACTTTAGAAATATGCATTTATGAGACCAACAAAGAGATGGACACGAATGGCGACGACATCCTTCCGTGTTTTGCTGAGACTTACACTGGGGTAGCCTGGCGGCGGCCTCAGCAAACAACGAACATCCCCACTCCTTACTCAGCTGGGAATACCCTCTCTTTTCCGAATTTGGAAGACTCCACCCTTCAGCTCCTGCACTGCCCAGTTGCAACACCAACAATGCGTTGTCGAACCGTCATTTCTACCTGAAACAATGCGAGCCAAGATCACCGGATCCTGCTCCTTGTGCGTCTTTTGGTCTTGATGATTTGTTGAAATTGGCCCAAACGAAAACAAACCACTCGTTACTGCCAAAAAGCATGCATTGCAAGAGTTTGACGTCACTCGTATCACCCCACCGCCAAGCGATTGCTATCGAAAGTCCACAAGTGATCGGATGCCAAGGCAGCGGGCCCAAGGACCCCGCAGCCCCCTCCCTCTTCGTTGCTGTGCACTTGCAGACCCGGTTTGGGTATATATGATACGTTTGCCCAACTCGTTGCTGTCTCACCATTATATTCTAATTTCCCCTCATACTCGACTTCACACTCGCGACCCTCTACCCCAGTTGCGGTTCCTTGAGTCTTACACGCCACACACCATGACCTCCCTAGTAGAAACCCTCACTGCCTCTGGCGGTCCCGAATCAGCGGGTATGTTGTTGTCTTACCTATTACCAACAGCAGTCACGGTACAACTGACAGCCATGTAGGCTTCCTGAACGACCTCGTTGGCCACCTATGGCCCAATATCTGTGTTGCCGGCGGGGCAATGATCAAGCAGATTGCCGAGCCCATGTTCGCGCAAATGCTCCCTGCTCCCTTGAACACACTTCATTTTGCCAAGATCGACCTGGGTGTTGAGCCCATGACCTTCTCAAACGTAGATGTTCACAAGGTCGAGAACGGCGGCATCAAGCTGGACTTGGATGTCAACTGGGATGGCAAGTGCGATATTGAGATGGATGGCAAGATGATCCCCAAGGTGGGCGTCGAGCACGTCAAGCTGAATGGTAGGCTGTCCATTCTACTCTGCCCAATCACAAATGTGATTCCTCTTGTAAGTTAATGGCCATCTCTTGAACCCATGCCAGGCCGGCTTGCTCATATCCTCTTAGATTGGAGCTGCTCAAGTGGCCTTCATCAACCCCCCTTACCTCAAGTTTGACTACACAGACGGAGCCAACATTGCCAACCTCGGCTTCATAGACTCCTGCGTCCGCAAGGTCGTCCAGTCCATCGTTGCCGGCATGGCTGTCCTCCCCAACCGCTTCCTCGTCAAGCTCGACCCATTCAATGACTACTTCAAGACCTACCAACTCCCAGTCGGCGTCATCCGCCTCACTGTTGAGTCTGGCAGCAACTTCGGCGAAGAGCTCAAGTCTAAGAACATCTTCAAGAAGCTCGTCCACGATGTTCCAGACTGCTACGTCACCACCTCCCTCTCGGGCGAGCCTAGCTGGAAGACCGCGACAGTGAAGGACAACCACCACCCTGAGTGGCATGAGACAAGAGACTTTATCGTCTCCGATCACGATCAGCTCCTCTCACTGGACGTCAAGGACTCCGACACCGCCTCCGACGATGACATCGGCCTCGCCGCCATCACAGTCAAGAACCTTCTTCTCGCCCACGGCGCGAAGCAAGACCTTACCCTCCTTCACAAAGGCGAGGAGACTGCCGGCAAGCTTACTGTTAGCGGCAGATACTACCAATTCATCCCCGATGCCTCCAGCATCATCGGCGAGGAGAACCCTGCCGAGATCAGGGGCTTGCTCGCCGTCCTTGTCGCGGCGGTCAAGAACCTTAAGGGTGCTCGCGAGCAGCTCAAACCTAGCGTCGCCATCACCTGGGGCGCGCACAAGTTCCAGACAATCGTCAAGTGTGACAACCCCGGTGGCGCTGAAGACATCCAGAACCCTCACTTCGACAACGCTTTCCGTATCCCACTTTCCGGCAGCATTGAGGGCGCTGGTCCAGTAAGAATTGCCTTGATGGATGGCAAGAATGAGGTTGGCGCTGTTGAGGTGCCTCTTGAGGAGGTCCTCGCAGCAGAGAACCTGTCCTTGCTGAAGGAGTTTGATGTTGGTAATGGCCAAATTATCAAGGCTGGTGTTGTGCTCAGGGGCACCAAGCTTGTTGAGTGAAGGGAAAAAGAAACATGAGAAATTAAGACAAAAGGGTATCAAAAGTAATGACCCTCCATAGAATTTAGCGTTCATTAGCAGATTTAACCAAAAATAATTAATGATTGTCAAAAATTAAAGGACAAGAGATATGAAAAAGTATGTGCCCAATAACAGGATTGAACTGTTGACCTTCGCATGACTTGATATGACTCGCAGGAGTAATATTAGTACGACGCTCTAACCAGCTGAGCTAATCGGGCCTTCAATTGCATATATGGATCTTGTAGGTCCTACAACTTAAAACAAGGCTTGCATGGCCGACTCGGCCAGTGAGTCGCAGAATGAAGAGGATGTGGTGAGCAGTTGGGCCAAATCCGAGACACGAAACAGCATAGCTTAAAGAAAGAGACGTCATGTTAAAATAAATGGCCAGCTATGTAGCGGACATGAATTGAGGGAATATCGTGAAGAGGAAACAAGTGGGCACGTTGTAGACAGAAAAATAGAGACTATTCCATAAATCACAGGCCCTAAAAGACAGTCGATAGGACTTTAAAGATAGTTTAAAGGCCTATTCACTAGCTTTCAAAGGTTTTTATATATAACTCGTAGTCTCTATGTTTTTTATCCACAACGTGATGGGTTGTTCAAGACAGTTGTTGAAACCAAGTGGTGTAAGATACAGAAAAGGGAAATCGTTGACGTCACAAAGAACCACTCGCCACAGTTTCCCCATCCCACAAGCCACGCGACTCGACTCCAACCACCATCATAACCAACAATCCATTCTTTTCCCATCATCGCCAACTCATAAGCATCAATGCTCACCCGCATATACTTCCCCACCCCCCTCCAAATTACATTCACACTGGTCACCACCACCTCAACTTACGTCCCACGCTTACTCTTACCCACCAGCAGCAGCAGCAGCATCACATCTTCCCTGCCCACTCCGTTCTTACTGCAAAGAATCTACCCCCCACTTTAAAATGCCAGAGTCCATGATCAATCTCAAAGGAAGCTGCACCTGCAAAGCTCTCCAGTACGACCTCTCCCTCCCCTCCCTCGGCGATGCGAGGACAACCCTCTGTCACTGCCGGTCCTGCCGGCGAGCATTCGGGACAAACTACGGACTCACAGCCAAAGTCGCTTCAGACGCTTTCAGATACAACAAAACAGATGGCAACACTCTTGCAACGCTCAAGAAGTACAAGCAAAAGAACGGGGTGACGAGGGAGTTTTGCGGTAACTGCGGTGTGTTTATTTGCGAGTATGGTGTAAGTGCCCATTCGATCGTGATAGCTCGGTGATATTCCACCCAGCACAGACAATACTCGTCAGACGTCGAAAATTGGCGCCGAAGGGCGGCTTCATGTATAGTTTCAAAGTAGTCAATAAAGAGATATCTTCACGTACGAGACAGACTAATCAGCGAGGACAAAACAGGAGGAAGCAGCCGAAAAGTTTCGGTATGTCATGTGGGGGTCATTGGATGAGCCAGAAAAGATCCCGCCCAAGGGGGAGTTCTTTTGCAAGGAGAGGGCTTCTTGGATGCCCGAGATCTCTGGTAGGTAAAACCGTTGTTGGAGGAGAAGGTTCATCGGTTGCGGTTGTGAGAAGGATTCGATAGTGCGGAAGGGTTGATGACTGGCTGAGGTCTTGGTCCCGTCAAAGGAGATCCGGATGTTGGGGGCGGTTTGAGCACTTTTGATTCATGCTTGATCCCCAAAAAAGACCCCCGCCATTTGCGCAATGATACTGATTTGGTCGTTCTGCAGGTGTCTTTCACAAACACGAGATCAAAGAGTAATCGGTTGATTCCTATAGCTACGGTCTGGACCTCCGCACAGTCAATGCTCAGTGCCGCCAGATCAATGAAGTCTATCAACTGCTTGTTTTGCAAGGCGGCAAGCACAAGTTTGGGAGGAGTGGACATGAGGAGCACGCGTGGATTTCTCGTTCAAGCATCATCTCTAAAAATGTATACAAGCAGATGAAGACTCTCGGCTTGCAGATAGAAGGCTAATGAGGGTGTAGAATCTTTACTTGCTCCCGTTTTCTTTGGCTCTCCAAGAGGTTTAGACATCTTCACGTCCAAAATGCAAGGCCGACATAACCGAATTCATTCACCAACTTCCTCTTGGTATGGAAATCCACATGTTCCAAGAGCAATAATAGGGACCATGCCAAGAACAGTATGTCGTCCAATGTTTTATCGAAGTCCACAGAACTTTTATAGGGCCTGGCGAGGCTGGAGATTGGCAAGCGCTGGGGCGGAAGTTGACTGGTATGATAGACTCCCGCTGCGAATGCATTATGAGGGGGCATTGTCTACCGATTTTGGCCGGCCTCACTTCCAGAAAAGAAGCGGCCTTTCACCCATACCACCGCTGCATGGGTTAGTCCTCAAGGTTCTCGCGTTGTTGTTGGTGCGGCGACAAATTACCGTGCTTCTGGCTTTTCACGCTGTTTCCTGACATTTTTTGTTGACATGGCCGGGAGCGGTCTTGTGACAATACCAAGGATTGCTGTTGCATTCCTCGCCAACTGGCAACCGCACAGGTAGCATGTCTCAGCTGTATTGAATCCATAAACGTCGATCCCGTATCTGACGGGTCATGGCGGTTGGCTCATCCCGCCTGATTACCACCCCGCGGACCACGCTGCCAGCTAATTTCCTCTTCCATTCGTGCCGGAACGGGCCATTCTGTGCGAACTATCGCTGACCATCTAACCGAGGTGTCATTGCTTTCTTTTTACCATGCCAAACTTCCCTCTATTCCCACGGCGGCTGCTCACCAAAAGGCCCCCCTCCTCTGCTGTGACGTCCATCACTTCCTCACGTGAACTATCGGTGCTTCGATGTGGTTGGTCTTGACCAATTCAGAGTCTTGTTGGAAGTCACCTTTAAGAGGCTCTCCTTGCAAACTGCATCCTGCAGAAGGTTCCGCCTTTATCTACCACAGTGCTATCTACTTACCACCGTCGATACTGCCAGCCGAACACTTCCTTGTGACTCCGCAGGACTTGGAAAGGAGAGGAGTTCATAATGGGAAGTGGGGTGCCGAACCCCCTGAGTTATGCATCCCGGCCCCAACTCCAAAGGATGGCGATCATGGAAAGGAGCTGAACCAATAATCGAAGTCACGTTGCACTGTGCTCCGTATCCGACTTCACCATGATGGGGAGGAGAGGATACGATGACGGGGACCCGAAAAAAAAGTCCATAAAGGAGAGCACGCCATGCCCGACAACTCCCCAACTCTCTCTCCATCATCACTCAAGAATTCAAGCATCTTTATCGCCTCTGCAACATCATCATTGCTACCAGTACATACCTCCTCTCAGCATTTATATACACCACCACAACCACCGCCATCTTTCAAAACATAGTACTTCAAGATCTTCCTTTTCCTCGTCGCTGCCACCTCTGGCTCTGCTGCTCCCGCCGCTAGTGACTGACACCAAAATCTCCTAGCTTTACTCCTGCATCAACTCACTTCCTGCATTGAGCCCCCTCTTGGGCACTACCAGTATCACTTGCTAAATGCCTTGCGAACAATGGCATGTTTTTGAGCAGCACCATGAGTACTGAAACCATTAGGAGGAGCGTGAATGAAGAATTCATGGGATGATGATTAAACATCTTCAGACAAGTCTGGAACCGCCCGCTAGCTGGTTGTGATGGTTGATTGGGATATATGAGATATGACATATTACAGCCACTCCTTCATGAACTTTTTCTTTGTTACTCAGGATGATCGTCACTAACCGCTCATTAAGTATTGTTATCATACGGAGGTTTTGAAACGACGTTGGTTCCATTGTGATCCTGTGCCTATGCACCAGAATGAGCCTACAAAGGAAACTATGGGTATCATAGGAAATGTGACAATGACTCCGAAACTGTCCAGTAACCCTACCAGCATATCTATGCGGCGCCATATCTCTGGCACGTATAAATACCAGCGAACCACAAGCCGAAAACATACTAATGATACCGACTTTAGCAAGCCCAACTCTATCTACGGCCAACCCCAAGCGATCCCCCTTCCCATCCAACCTCCACACGAGACCAAAGTCTGCCCATCCGAACAATGAAACATAACCATCAACCCAGCGCCACAACCCGCAAGCCACCTCCCAACCGTCCCAGAAACCTCACCTTAGCCTTCCCCTTCGGCAAAAGCCTCCCTTCCACATTCTCCTTTCGCATCCATCATCAACTTCCCAACCTCGAGCCTCAGTCTCATCCAACCACCAAAAAAGCGCTACTAACCGCCCCCTCAGACACAGAGATCTTTCGTTGCTGGACCTCGTACAGCATTCCCAAAACCCCCAACTTCCAAGCCTTCTCTTGGCCAACATCATCACTGGCAAACACCGAGTGGGACGGTAGTATCCCTACGGATGCAGATGGGGATAAACAGGATACCCGCTCCAACAGTTCCCGGACGGTGGACCTGATCTCCCCCCGAACTGTCCCTCTTGGCTTTCAGAAAATGGCGGCTTAGGCGTACCATGCTGGAGATACGCCCCAAGCTTCCCCGCAGCCTAATCTTCCCAGTCTCGTGTCTTCACACGCTGATCCTGAGGAGTGGCGGGGACAGCACCCTGGTATTGCTGTTGGTCAGAAACAGGTTACTGTGATGAAGGCGGGGCTGGGCTCTCCTAGGACTGATCATTGACTTGGTTCTGTTGAGAGGTCGGGGGTATTGGAAGAAGCGGCGGCTGCTGCTGCTGGTAGCCATCTTGGTTTCCCCCCTCACCCTTCTCTGGTGCCTTTGGTGCCTCGGGCTGCTGCAGCTGCTGCACAGCAGCCTCTCTCTCCTCCTGAAACATTTTCGCCCCTTCCAACCTCGCCCTCTGCTCCTCTTGGATCTCAGTTTCCATCACATACAACTCCTGCGTCTGCCGCTGCAGCTTCGCGATGAGGGCATCGAACGAGTACTCGAGCAAGTCGTACTTTGGGTCGCAAGTCGGCGGTTTCCACCCCTCCGGAATTTTCTGACGGGGCAGCTCCCCCGATGTGTTGCGCGCTTCGTTCTCGGCGCAGATTTCGGCCTCCATGGCGTACGCCTCTTGGGTTTGGCGGTGGAATTTCGCGAGGAGGGCATCGAACGAGTATTCGGGCAAGTCGTGTTCGGGGTCATAGGTGTGAGGCTTCTGGTCTGGGGGAATCGTACTTGTGGCCGCTGGTGCTCTCTCGAAACGGCAGGTGATGGTTTCAGCCTGCTGTTCGGGGGTCAGGGGGTAGCTC